TATATATATATATATATATAAGTAGCACACAATCCTATCCAACTACACACACACATATAAACGCAATTTAAAAATACATTTTTAGATGTTTCATATGTGTTACCGTTAACTATTTACTAATACCAAAAGAAATATTTAAAACTAGAGAAAGTTAAAACTGTGATGTTTGTATTTTTTCATACCTATGTATTTTCCATAAGAGATTTTGTAAACAAATATGTATACACATTAACTTGTCAAGCACAATATGTAAGCATCCATGTACAAATGTAGGTTTTAAATTTTAATCATTGTTTACAGCTTATAACATGGTATACTTTTGAAAGAATACTTCATAATGTAGTCAGTTACATATTAATTATTGTTCTGTTTCATTTGCTATACTTGAATCATTACATTCTGGTGTTCCAAAATGATGCACAAGTTTAATTCTGCCAAAACAACTGCTTTTTTTTAACACTTCAGTGGCTAAGAATGAGCTGAGATTAACTGCACGAGTTAAGTTGTATGCACACGTATTTTAGTTGAAACCCTGGTAAAGCCAGGCTAACTTCAGCATACAACCCTTTCTAACAAACAATCTCCTCTATTGGTAAAATTATTGTCATAAATATTCACACATTTTTTTGGGGAATTGGTCTTAATTTTGTCCTTGTAATCTCTATTTTTTCTTTTTTTTATAATTTATGATGTGATATATAAAATTCCCCAAGTTTTAACAATTGGATCAAAACCTACATTCAACAGTAGTTCTAGAAATTTCTGTTGACTGGTATATAGATTATTGTTTTCATAATATCTTTTTACAAAACATACCCTTCCTATATCTACTGTCTCCTAATTACATGGTTTGTTTTTGTGTGGAGCTAGAGGCATTACATAGTCAAATAAAAAAAGCTATGAAGTTCAAAAACAATAATTTTTTTCTTCTCCTTTATTATACTGGTATTCCCAATCTTTTAATTAATGTTTTTCCTGTAGCTTACAGCATACTTTTAAAAAAAGAAGAAGAAAAAAATCCTTAGTGTTTTACTAATTTATAAATTATAATAGCAATGCCAACAAATATAAGCCTTAAACTATGTCTATTGGTATAATAAACAATACTTAACATCATTGTTTTATATAGTAACTTATGTTTGCAATTTATTTTGGGTGTACATTATTGCAGTTACTAGGTTTGAAATATTTCAACAAAAGCCCACTTTCTGGCTGGAAAACTATTTTGAGAAGTATAAAGAACAAAATGATGAATTCCTTTTGCACAATTTCCAATCCAAATATACACAAGAATAGCCAATACAACATAAGAAAATATATCCTTCATCAAATTTTGCCACACTACAGATACAACAGTATAAAAGTAATGAAAAAACTTTTACAAAAAAGGAAGTTAATTTAGGGATAGCTAACATTAATCCTTGAAAAACAATGCAAAAAAGATAGTAGGGATGGCATTTGCTATTATGTAGGGATGAAGCAAGTTTCATCCCTACTATTTTGTTTGCATCATTTTTGAAGAATTCATATTAGCCATCTCTACATTTACTTCATTTTTTGAAAAGTTTTTTCCTTGTTTTTTTTTAATGCAGTGTTTCAGTAGACATAGAAAGGTTGTATTTAGAACCAAGTTCTAAATACAATGAGGTTCCAACTGTAATATTTATTGTTAGTTGTTATTTGGCTGGTAATTCCTGTTTCACCCTGTACTTAAGCTTTTTACGGGAACTCTGAATTTCTGTAAAACAGCCAATTTCAAGGGGTAGTGATAATATCAATCACTAAAAATTATGATTTTTTAAAATTACTACTAGTTATTAATAATACTTATAAAAACAGATACTCCATCTGAAACTATGTCACCTAAGTGAAATTGGTTGACACAAATGTTTCGGTTTTCGAGTTATCATGTAATAAAAAAATGAGCAGAAGAAAAAAACAACAAGAAATTCAAATTTTTACTGATATTTACAGACATACCCAGAACTTGTGACTTAGTCATTAGATAGATATTGTTTTGAAAGGAAACATTGTATAGTATTGTAAAGTTCTGATGACCTATTGAATAGATGAATTTTGATGAACAATCCAAGCCACCCCAACATAGGTAGTGCTACTGTCTGCCTGACAATTTCTTTTGGGGGTATAGTATTGCAGTTACTAGGTCTGAAATTTTTCAACAAAATCAACTTTCTGGCTGGAAAAGTATTTTTCAGAAATATAAAGAACCAAAAATGGTAAACTATTTTTTGCACAATATAAACACTGTTTCCAATCCAAATATAAACAAGAATAGCCAATACAACAAAAGAAAACATATCCCTCATCCAATTTGGCTACAGTATAGGTAAAACAGTATATAATATCACTTAATTTTGTCACAACACATTTGTGGGAGGGTTTCAAGCTTATCTTTCTTATTAATGAGAATCAAAATAAAATAATTTAAAAAAATGTCTTGCGCTTAAGGTGAATTAATACAAAATCAAGAAACTGAAAGGAATAAAAAATTTTATGAAATGTAAATTTAAATAAAAAGAATATGGAATGCTAAGCCAGAACAAAAATAAATCAATCAGGAAAAATTTAATAACATAAACTTACTTCCTAAGTGCATAAATATAAAAGCTTAATATATTTCTATTGTAGAATACTTGAAAACAATTGGGCTTGAATGTATTCAGATATTACGAGTCTATATACAATGTTGCAAAATATTGTCATTTATCAGTTTCATAACACAAATGTTATTTTCCTTTTAACTGCAATAATTTTTTTAAAATTCTGTTAGTTTTGTTGTATGTGTGTGTTTTTATACATACATCATTTGTGTAAACAAGCGTTCCCATATGTTGTTGACGTTTTGAGCTTTTGTTCAGTGTTACTGACAGCTTCCCAAAATTTTATTCATACACACAGCTAACTACAGCTCTTTCACATTTTGAGCCTGCGCATAACAGCTCAGACAGAGAAGCTGGGCATGAACCAACCCTTTGGTGCCATGTTACTGGGAGTGGCTCTGCTTAATCGGATAAAAACAGCAATGCAGAAACCAGGCTTTGAGTGATGCAACCCTTCCTGAAGACAATTATTCTTGAGGTACCCCCAGCTATTACCACTCCTATCAACAGAACTACGAAATGCGATATACTATAATGTAAAACCTAACACTTGTGACAGGATGATGGCAGCAACATGTTAAAATATCCATGAAAAGCTTATTGGGTTACACACACACTTTCAATGCAGAAATCTGACTATTAAACCATAAATAGTTATCTAACTGAAAATTATCAGGAGATAAATATGCTAGAAATATTCACATAGTGTTAAGAATAATGAACTATCATGAAAGCCTTGACAATGCCTAGTTTATAATGTGAATGTTTGGTGTAAAGTAAATTTCAAACACTGTGTCAATGAACTGAAATCTGTTAAGTTGACACTACCACAATTTTAAGGTCATTGTTTTTACAATACCACATTTCCATTGTGAGCACTTAGATTAAAAG